CAGAGGGAGCCATTAGGACTCGCCAGCGCAATGCCAACGCAATGTCGAAGCAGTGCCATCGTAATGCCAAACAAATACCAAGGCGGCCCCAATCCAATGCCAATGTAATGCCAATGGGGGGGGTCCTTTGTTATACATTCCAAAAGGAATCTTGATTGTGGAGGGTTTCAATCTGAATCGTTCTGCGAAGGGGGGCATTAGGACTCGCCAACGCAATGCCAACCCAGTGCCAACGGAATGCCAAACCAACGCCAAGGCGATCAAAACTTAATGCCAATGCAACGCAACTTGGGTGGATTGCTTGTGGTAGCGTTCGATAGCAATCCTTCTAAGAACCCTTCTGTGGATGATGTCATCCAGTTAGGAATCCTTCTAAGGACCCTTCTTCGGAGGATTTCAATATGCGTCCTTCTGTGGAGGGATTCGCATGGAACCCTTCTGTGGAGGATTGCAATGTGAATACATATTGTGGGGGGTCCGTAGGCATCATTCTTGTGGGCGTATTCAATGGGACTCCTTATGTGGAGCGTTTGGTTGGGACTCGCCAGCGCAATGCCATCGCAATGCCAACGCACTGCCATCACAATGCCAACGCAATACCAATGCGATGCCAAACCGTTACCAAACCAATGCCAATGCAATGCCGATGGCATGATTCCAGTCTTTCAACAGATTTCAACAGTAAACCTTGTGTGGATGATGTGGTTACGACTCCTTCGTTCGAAGATGTCCATCGAATATTCTTGTTCGACAAGAACCCTTCTGTGGAGGGCTTGACCATGAACCCTTCAGGTGGGGACTTTCAAAAGGAACCCGTCGTGTGGAAGGTTTCAAGAGGAATCCTTCTATGGTGGGAGCCACTAGAACTCGCCAGCGCAACGCGAAATCAGTGCCAACGCCATGCCGAACCAATGCCATGACAATCCCAATCCAATCCCGATGAAATGCCTGGGTGGAATCGCTTGTGGTCGGTTTCAATAGGATTCCTTATATGGAGGGCTGCGGATGGGTTCAATATGAATCCTTCTTGTGGAATGCTTCAATCGGAATCCTTCCTGTGTGGGGTTCAATAGGGATTATTCTGCGAAGGGAGCTCTTGGAACTCGCCAGCGCAATGCCAGCGCAATGCAAAAGCAGTGCCAACTTAATGCCAGCTTAATGTCAAGGCGATCTCAACCCAATGTTCATGCAAAGCCGATGGGGGAAAGCATGTGTGATATATCTCAATAGGAATCCTTATGTGGAGGGCTTCGCATGGAATCCTTCTGCGTAGGGTTTCAATATGAATGAACCCTTTTTTGTGAAGGGTTTCAATAGGAGTCCTTCTGGTAAAGGGTTTCGATATGAGTCCTCTTGTGGAGGGTTCCATTAAGACCCGCCAGCGCAATGCTCCTGTTCCATTATGACATTCGCGGGCGATGGGCCCCGTGCCACGTGGGCCCCGACAGGTGGATGAGAAAGAGGAGTAGGAGGACAAGGAGGAGGAGGAGGAGGAGGAGGAGGAGGAGGACGACGACGACGACGACGAGGACGAGGATGAGGTCGAGGAGCGCGTGGAAGGGAATGGGGGCGGAGGAGGAGGAGGAGGAGGAGGAGGAGGAGGAGGAGGAGGAGGAGGGAGGAGGGAGGAGGGGAGACGGCGGGGGGGGGCTATAAGGAGGAAGCTTCCCCCCACCTCGCCCCCCCCCCCGGGGGGGGGGGGAAAAACTGGCCCCCGTTGTTTGGGGGGGGGGGGCGGGGGGGGGAGAGAGAAAAAACAAAACAAAAAAAAGGAGGAGGAGGGGGAGGCGGAAGGAGAGGAGAACGCCACAGAGTACGCACACCACTGAAAGACGCACGCGCGAACTCAGTGTGAAAGCTTCGCTCGCGCGCCCTGGAACCTCGAGGGGCTCCACACCCCGTTCTCTCCTTCTCCTCCTCCCTCCCTCCCTCCCTCCCTTCCTTCCTCGCTCCCTCTCTCCCTCCCTCTCTCCCTCCCTCCCTCCCTCCCTCCCTCCCCACCTGGAGACACCCACAAGGGCATGGCGGCTTCGGAGGAAGCTTCCTGGAGAAACCGGGAGAGAGCTGCCGAGGGGCCGCCGGCCTTCTTAGAAGCAAGCCCCCGCCTTCTCAGAAGGCCGTCCCCCTCGCGGCCCGTCTTATGGGCTCCGCCAAAACACGGGCCTCATCCGAGGGCGGCCGGTACCCCAGGCAGGACGAGGGAAGCACGAGACGCAACAGTTATTGTTTTCGTCAGCGGCGAGGCGGCGAACTCCGCTCCAGCGAGAAGCTAGAAAGGGGCACTAACTAGCGAATTGGCCGGCGGGCAAAGGGGGGGACGGCCGAGAGGGAGAAGGGACGCTCAGACGTCGAACTCACGAGACGCAACGGGCAGTGCACGGAGACGCCCTCGGCTCTGCAGGGTCGGCCCACCAGTCGGATCTAGCCAACCTCCTGCTCGCGCCCCTGCCTCGCGAGGGGGCCGATATAAAAAAGAGGTGTCTAAAGGCCTCCCGAATAGGGTCCGAGTAGATGGGGTCGGAGGAACGCGCCGTATCGCCGATGTATCTGCGACGTCGGCGACGTATCGCCGCAGTCGGCGTGGCGAAACTCGGGCTCCGCATCGAGCCGCATCGCCGCTGCTTCGGCGATGCGGCACGATCCTCCGACCCCATCTGCTCGGACCCTGCCTGGGAGGCCTGGAGCATCGGCCCCCAGATGTTTTTTCGTATACCCCGCACGATGCGTCGAAGGCCCCCCAGGGGAGCACGTGTGGAATCGCGCACCTCCCCAACAAGCCTACCCGCGGCAGCAGCACCAGCGCAGCAGCCCGGGGGGCAGCCGAAACGCGACGACCTGGGGGGGCGTGCAGCTCCCCGAGCCCTCGGGGGCGGCCGAGCGTCGAGTGTCCACCGTGGCACCAGCCCTCGTGGGCAAAGCTCCAGACAAGTGCGCTGCCAAGGAGCAGGGGCGAAAGTCTGCCCCCCTTGGGGCCAGCTCCTTCTCCTCCTCCTTATCCTCATCCTCTTCCTCCTCCTGCTCTTTCTCCTCCTCCTCTCCTTCTCCTCCTGCCTCGCGGGTGCTTTTCTTTTAAACAAAACAGCCACTCCAGCCCTAATACAGCCTACCGAACGCCATGGACGTCTTTACTTCGCTGGGGGTCGCCGGAATGGCGTAAGCAAATTGAAATTTAGGATAAGTGTGCTGCAAAGGGGCAGGGCTGAAAGTCTGCCCCCATAAGGCCAGGCTTTTGTGTCCGTGCCCCATCCCCTCGGCGTCCAGAGCTGGAGGCAGCAGCAGGATCGGTCAGCATCGAGTGGGGAAGTTGGATCGAATGGAAAGGTGCGTCGGGTTGGGCAGCTCAAACCTCGAACCTCGAACCTTATTCTCCTCCTCCTCCTCCTTCTCCTCCTCCTCCTCCTCCTCCTGTGCATCCGCCCCCCTCCTCCTCCTTATCCTCCTCCTCCTCCTCCACCTCCTCCCTCTGCCGAGGCTTGCCCAACAGGAGGCAAGCCCACAAAGGCAGACACCAGTGCTTTCGCGCCTCCGACGAGGCCTGCCGCCAAAACGTGGCATGTCAGTTCCTGATGGACGATATCGTACAACATGGACTACTTTGTGGTGCAAGCACTCTGGTTAGACCAGGTCTCCGACGATTGTCCGACCCATCCTCCGCCTCCTCCTCCTCCGCCTCCTCTTTTTCCTTCTTTTCCTCCTCCTTCTCCTCCTCCTCCTCCCCCTCCTGCTCCTCCTCCTATCCTCTCCTCCTCCTCCTCCCTCCTCCTCCTCCTCACCTCCTCCCTCCTCCTCCCTCCCCTCCTCCTCCTCCTCCTCCTCCTCCTCCTCTCCTCCTCCTCCTCCTCCTCCTCCTCTCCCGCCCTCCTCCCCTCTCCTCCTCCTCCTCCCCTCATCCTCCTCCTCCTCCTCCTCCTCCTCCTCCTCCTCCTCCTCCTCCTCCTCCTCCACCTCCTCCTCCTCCTACTACTACGCCTATCCTTATTCCTGATTCGAATATACTCTTACTCTCCGTTCTTTCCATCCGATAAGGGTTCCATCCGGGCCCTTTTTCATCCGAACTGTAAAAAACCAATACAAAGTCGTCGTTGTTTCTCTCAACATGGCCTTTCTTGTCGTCGACGATGCGCGTAGCAGGAATCGGACGCGGCGCAAATCGCGCGCGGCCGTCAATCCGGGCCTTCCCATCCCAAGTGTAAAAAATCAATACAAAGTCGTCGTTTCTCTCTCAGCATGGCCTTTCGTCGACGATGCGAAATGCGTAGCAGGAACGGGACGTGGCGCACATCGCGCGCGGACTCTGGGGCAACCCCAAGCGGGAGGGGCCATCCTATCTTCCAAAAAACCATACAAAGTCGACATGTTTCTTCTCAGTGGGGATTTTCTTGTCGTCGGCTTGGCGAAATGCGTGGCAGGAAGGAGGCGCTGTGCACATCGCGCGCGACAGGGAAAATGTCGCTCTTGCTTCGGCGGCGCGCGCGCATGTTTTCTGAAAGTTGCGCTCCCGCTAAGGCGCGGCGCACACTTTTCGCTCGCCAATTCGTCGAGCGCCTAGGGCCCCCCGGGGCCTCCCAGGATCTCCTGAGACATCCTGGGGCTTCCCGGGGCTTCCCCAGGGCCTCGTGGATCCTCCCGAAGCCTCCTGAGGCATCCTCGGGCTTCCTGGGATTCCCCGGAGGCTTCCTGACACTTCCTAGGGCTTCCTGAAGCCTCCTGGGATTACCTGGGGGTTCCTGGTCCCTCCCGAAGCCTCCTGGGGCTTCCTGAGTGAAATGGGAGATGGATGCGAGGAAAGAGATGCGCAATTGTTTTGTCCGTGTAACTTAACAGCTGTCTGAGGTGAAACGGCAGCGGAAGAGGAGGAACAGGAGGAAAGAACAAGAGGGCATGTAATACTACAACTCTGGTCGAGTTCCGAACAGCTTTGCTGTCCAGGTCAAAATGACAGGGAACTACATCTATGGCTTACTGAGTGCTGAAGGCCAGCACACTGGTGGGAGCCCGGCCTGGCTCCAGTTGCCCTCTGAGGCTGCGGTCAGGTCGACGGACCCCTTGGTAAGGCCGTCCGCCAGCATCATGCGGGTGTCTATCCACCACAAGAGCCGGAGCTGTCGGGTGTCTAGGAATTCGCGCAGCTTGAGCACATGCAGGAAGAGGTGCTTGTCTGCCGGTACCTTGACCGTGCTCGCCGTTACGGCGTCGAAGACGGAACGCGCATCTAAACACAGCTCCAACGCGGGGTGCAAGGCGGTTTGCATGCGAAGATCGAGTAGCTGTGACGGTTTCGCCACACCGCAGGGCAATATCATGCAGAGCTGTCTGCACAATCATAGCCTGGTTTAGGGCATCTAGGGCTGCATGCAGCTCCGCTGCAAACGTACTGCGACACACGTGCGGCTGCTCCTAGAAAACCAGTCAACTACTAGGACCCGCCCGCACGGGCTCACCGCAGTGACTTTGCTACTGCTCCCACGATCCTCCACCAACAGGAGGAGACAGCCTCTCATCACCAGCCCTTCGGGGCCCCCGGCGCTGAACGAGCTGTCGGAGACACGCACGAGCTTGAGCGGCGTCTCGAGCTTGCGGTACTTGAGCGTCTGCGGGTGCAGCTTGATCCACTTAACCAGTCGGTTCAAGTCCCGAACGTGACTGAAGCACGGGCTCTTGGAGTGGCGCTGCAGGTAGCTGGCGTAGACACAGCACGCGATGTTCGTCATGCACATCCAAGCCACGCCGCCCAAAAGTGTCTGATAAGCTGTGACCAGCCCAGTTGGTGCTGGTGAATCCAGGTCCTCGTGTCGGTACCTGGCCATATCGATCAGGCCCAGCGTCTTGGCGTACTCGTGCTGGTGCAACCAGATGCTGCCGTCCGGCTGCTGAGAGTGAGTGATGCCGACGTGCTCAAACGACTTGGACTCGTGCTTGAGCTTGCCGAACTTGGTCTCGAGGTGGGCGATGAAGGCGTCGCGCACCTTGACCTCGCCGGCCCCCTTCAAATCGTCAACGTGCGTGGAGACGATGAGCTGCAGCTGTCCCGAAGAGTCGTGCTTCACGAACAGCTGAGGGTCGGTGGTGGTCGGGCGCAGCCCGAACTCCGCCAAGGTTTTGACGAGCACCAGGTTCCACATCCTGGGCGCGTCCTTGTGCCCGAAGCCCGGCCGGAGCATCTTCAGGACCTCCGTCCGGCCGTCGAAGTCGGCGTAGCCCGGAAGCTTCTGAAGGAGAGGGATGCTCCCAAGTGGCACCGTGAACGACACGTCTCTGGAAATCTCGCCGTCGAGCTTGGCCAGCTCAGAGTACGGCATGCCACGCAGGAAAGCCTGTGAGACGCCCAGGCAGAACAGGTCCCAGCCTGCCTGCACGGCGCTGATCACAACTAGGCGCTGGCCCCAGCGAGACGCGGCGCCGGAGAAGGTGGCGATGTCCGCCGCCCGGGCGTCGCGGTAGCCGCGCACTGTCATGCGGGCCTTGACCTGCCGCACCTTCTCGATGGCAGCCTTCTGCCCCGCGATCGGCCGCGCCAACTGCATGAGCTTCCACTTTAGGACCCACCTGGCGTCCAAGATGTTCCGGGCCTCTGAGCGAGGCTGTCGTCTGAACGACTCCAGGCCGCGCCAGCGCTCGAGCTCGCCCAACATGGCCTGCTCAACGGCTTCCTGGTTGGCGAGCGCCTCGTCCAGCGAGAGGATGTTGTACTCCTTCTCGATGAGCGCTGCCTGGCTGGCGTCCTGGGCGTAGGTGCCATAGGACTCGCTGGCGCCGCTGCCTGTCGCTAGCGGTCCTAGGCTCTTGCTGGTGACCGCGCATTGGCTACGGTCTGGGACGATCCACCTACTGGGCGGCTCGGAAACTTCCATAATCGGATGTTCCTGATCGTGATACGGCAGAGGCCATTCCGAGGCCACGAGGTTATAGCCACTGTCGTGCAAGGCGTCGGGGGCCTCGGTCAGGCTAGGGAGTGCGTCCAGCATCTCGATAGGGCCGCAGCTGCTCAGCTGGTCGGTGAAGACGTCGATGATGCCGGAGTCGGTCATCCAATGCTCAGTAAGATAGCTTTCCAACCCACAAGAGTCCACGAACAGATCCTGCTCGCCGTAGTCGATCGTAGCCTGCGAGTCGTCGTCGTCGGGGACGGGAAAGTCGACCGCCTCGCCAGAGCCGCCGACGATCGGCAAGATCGGTGCTGGCGGCATCGGAGCCGACGCACTCGATGACGACACCGCTGCTGATGGTCCTGCTGCAGCCTTTGCTGCGGGTGCGTGTAGAGCAGACGAGGACGACGATCCTGACATCGCATTCGCTGATGTCGTGCCTCACTGACGCTTGTCAGGAGACGCCGCCGAGCCCTGACCGGCGGTCCGTTTACCAGCTGGTGTCGGTGGTCGTTGTCGCTGCCACTCTCCCGCCTTGTCGCCATGGCTGCTCCTGCTGCGATCGGAAGGGGTGATCTGCCGCGGCACAGGCACGAGCTCGTCGTCGTCGTGTCGATTGGGCGTGGACTGATTTCGACTGGACCTCGAACGAGAGGTCGATTTAGAGCTCGATCCAAGTGAGTTATCTACTGGGTTGTCGTTCTGGAGCCCATTTGGTACTCCATGCTCTGGTGGCCTGGGTGAATGCGAAGGCACCTGAGGAGGTGCCGGTGGGTCAGGTGCCCACTCCATGGGTGCGCCGACCTCAGGGTCGTGAGGTCCACCGATGTTGGGCACGTCCACCTCCATGCGCCGCAAATCTTCCACCTGGTCACCGCCGGCCAGCAGGAACTGGACGAAGGACGGGTTCTGCCAGTCCTGGCCGAAGACCTCGGTCAGTTCGATCCTGGCCGTGCCAGGGGAGTGCAGATACCATGAGAGGCCAGGCCGGCCTTCACGCCACAACCAGAGAAAGCTGTCGTCGACCTCCTCCACGCCCTCGAGGACGGAGATGCCGTGACCAACGCGTCCACCCACACAACCCACGAGGTGGAATCCGCAGGCCGCCACGTGTAGGAGAGCCGAGAGCACCTCGCCGTACTTCGCGTTGGCCCTGACGCGGTGCCACACCCCGCGTAGCACCCAGCCCAACCGGATCATCTGCTTGCTGAGCGAGTCGGTAAAGGTCGTCAGGACCTGAGTCAGCGACAGGCCCGGCCAGTCTCCGGCGTGGTGGGTCAGCATGCTCAGGAAGACCAGGGCGCGCCTGATGTCCTGCGTCCGGCACTGCATGAACCTCGCTTGCCATCGGATGGTCACCGTGCCGCTGTCGACGTTGATCACCGTGGCTGGTCCACGCCAGCCGCTGTCGTCCTTGGACGTCGGAGGTCGATGGAAGTCGACGAGGTCGCCCGGCTCCAGCATGAGCGACTCGGTCGCGCGCCGAGTTCGGGCGCGCATGGCCCGCTCGATGCACTGCTTGGCCGTGAGATCCACCATGGACTGCACGGCAATTTCTCGAAGTCGATGGTGATGTCGACTCACTCCTGGGACTCCTGCTGACATATCGCCCAGCTGAGTCTGAGGCAGGCTCGAATTCAGCCATGACGGGCGGCAATCGGCCATACAGGGCCTGATAGGGCGAGTTGCCGCCGATGCTGATGAGGAGGTTCTTGGCGAGACAGCACTCCGCGACTATCATCTCCAGCGGGACGTTGATGATGCCCTCCTCGTTCAGCTGGGACTCCACTCGGAGCAAGAGTCGACGTAGAATGTCGTGATGACGCTCAACCACCTGGGCGTGCGCTCCAGGTTCCTTGGACCCAAGCTGGATCTGCCAGCGGTCCATCCACTGCGCCGCCTCGCCCGGCATGAGGCCCCCCTCTTGGTCTGCTACGAGTACCCGCATGGGACCCAGAGGGCGCAGCCAGTCCACCGCGATGGCCGCGATGATAGAGGCCGCACGTTTGTCGGCCAGGCTCGAGGCTGCACAGAATCTGATGGCCTCGTCCAGGAGGTGGCTGATCATGATCGTCCTGTGGAACAAGATGTCCCACTGCACCACCTCGTTGAATGCCGAGGCAAGCCAGAGCGTCGCCGTGATGGACTTGGGGCCTGGTCGGGCCCACATGCGGCATGACCTACATGTCTCGACGATTTCCTTGCAGAGATTGAGAGCTCGATGAGGAGCTCCCGCTCGCTGCAGCAGCTCTCGCATCCTGGCGGCCGAAGCGTGCCAGAACCTTATGTGGAGCCGCCGGAGGGTCCTGCGGACGATGGCGACATCGGTGTTGTGGAGCAGCTAAATGGCCCTGCCGATGTCGAAGGCCATCCACTCCGTGTCATGGCTGAGTCCGGCTTGGGCGGCGGCAGCAACGCCGCGCCCTCTACGAGCTGCGCGCTCCAGTGCATTGGCGGTAGGCCGTCGGCCGCATCGCATGGAAGGGCGACGGCATCGGTGGCCGCAGCATCGGCAGAGTCAGCTGCAGGCCCTCAGATACGGCGGGATCGCCGATTGCACTCGGGACTCGAGGGTCCCTGGGATGACGTCCCGCAGCCGGCGCTGGTCCACCTTGCGAGGGGCCCAGGCCGGGTACTCTGCACTTCTCGGTCCAGGGGTGACCGGGGTCCGATGGCGGCAGCCCTCGAATGCAGGCTGGACAGGAGTACTCCGTCGGGTACTTGAACGTGTGATCTCGCGCGTGCCGAGGGCCCAGCATCTGCTTGTGCCCCTTGCACCCAGGACAGGTGTACACACGCTTCTGGGTCGCCTTAGGTCGCCCGCCTGGCGGGGGCGCCTCAGGTTCCGCTGAGGCAGACTCAGGTTGCTCTTGCACCGCATTCGCTGGCGCAGCAGGGTCAGACGACGCCGATGATCCGCCAGCAGACGAGGGGAAGAACGAGGCGAAGGCATCGATGGCCACGAAAGTGCGCCAGAGATTTTGGCCGAACGTGCTGTCGTGAGTACTGTCAGCAAGTACGTCAAGACACCCCTCGGCCAAGATCCGGCATAACATACGAGGCCATACCTGTGCCTCCCCCGGCCTCTCAGAAGGCGGTGGAGGCCCACCTGGTCGCCGATGCCGATAACCAAGTACAGCGTGCTGGTGCCGCCCATAGCACTGACGAGCTGCAAGACGCCGTAGCAGACGACCATCGCTGGCCCACATCTCCGTGTGCTTCTGGATGGGCAAGCCAGTCTTACGGCCGATGAGGCCCGTCATACACTGGTAGAACCTAACCACGGCCAGGTCGTACCTGCGCTTGAGGTCGACCCAGTGGTCCATCTGGTAGAGCTCCGAGCCCACGGGGTTCTCGACGATGAAGTGACGACCCCGTCTGAAGATGGTGCGGTTGAGGGCTGGCCAGCCGTTCAGGCCAGCGCACCGAGGGGCCATGATGATGATATCGGGCTCCGTTGCGTCCAGGTACTTCCGAAGATAGGCGATGTCCTTGTCCTTCGTCAGGTCGAAGCCCGCGATGCAGTCGAAGTTGAGGCCGCCCACGCAGTTGCGGTGGACGAGGATCTCCGCGGTCCGGCCGAGGCCGCCCATGATCTCCACGAAGTCCACCTTGTGCGGGTGAGAGGTCAGAAAGGCCTCAAGATCAGCAGCTTCAAAGCGAGCTGGCTCCAGGATGCAATGCTCCCGCGGCATCTCGCCCGGGTCTGGGCCCCGAAATCCAAAGTGGTAGTCAGCCTCCGGAGCATCCAAGAGCTGCTGGAAGCGGTCGTCGTCGAACCGGTCGACCCAGAGCAAGGGCGTGAGGTCGGAGCCGCAGTCGTCGAAGTGCTGCTCGACGACCTGGGGCTTCTTGCGCTTCACGACGGGCGCGGTGCCCGCAGCCTTGGCCAGGGCTGCCTCAGCCTTGGCTCGCCCCCGCTGTTCAGTCGGGAAGGCCTCGAGGGCCCCGTTGGTACCCTCGGCCATGAGAGCTTCGATTCGGATTCGCTCAGTGTCAGGCTCATCGGGTTTCCGATATCCGTCCTGCGATGGCGCGTCGGCGTCGAGGATAACCAGACGTTCGGTCGACGTAGCACGTTGTGCATGTCGCTGCAACGGTTGCGATGCTAGCTGTGAGTTCGAACTTGATTGTGACCTTAACTGCAACTGCAACTGCGACTGCAACTCTGGTCGAGTCTCGAGGATCTTGTGCACAAGATTTCTGAGGAGGGTCTAGCGCATGTCCAAGGTTGCGCTGACGAGACTAGTGGGGATCCTGTCCTCGGAACGGGAACGTTCCCGACAGTCCAGATCGGACTGGAGGTTGATAGAAGACATCGTCCGAAAGATTCGGTTCACAGGGTGACCCTGATCGTCGACAACACCTAGGTTACACCAGCGATGTAGAGCCTCATAGACATCTGGCTGATCAGCGAGTTCCCGAAGTTCGGCCTGATCCCAGATCAGGCTGCTGGAGTTTGAGTCGAGCACGAAGTGCTGGCCGAGCGCGAGCTGCGTCCTGGCCAATCTGACGAAAATCCTGACGGCCTGCCTGTCACGCCTGCTGCCTCGGGGCGTGCCCACATTGATGTCATTAGCCCACAGCAGCTCAGGTCGGTCACTGTGCAACTGCAGGTTGACTCGGTCGGCACGCTCCCCGATGAGCTTGAACAGGCAGTCCACGCGCCGAACCTGGAATCCAGCGTCAGAAAGGACACGCTGTCGTAGACCTTCCTTGTCGTCAAGGATCCAAGCCCTGCAGGGCCGTGGAGTGAGAGAGGGTGCTGATGGGGTGCTGTTGGTCGGTGGAGGTGTGGATGAACGCTCGAGGATTGACTTAGGAGTGGTGGTGTCCCCCGTCTCAGCGGGAGGCTCCGGCGCGGAACCTACACCGGTCCCGCTCGTTTGTCAGGCGTTGCGTGCATCCGGCACGCCACCGAAATAGCGTATCAGATCTTTCACCGATCCGCCCTGCACCGCAATTGCTGGTGCCACCTTTACTCACTCCGCAGTGCATTGGCAACTGCGTGCTTGCCCCGCGACTCACCCCGCAGTGCATTGGCTACTGCGTGCTCACCCGCGTCCTGCACTGCATTTGCTAGTGCATCGTGCCGCTCCGTGGGAAATGACACGCGTTTCTGGGTGTCCGCCCGCTGGTTCTTGCCGAACTCGGAGCACGGCAACAGCAGGTGGCCGGTGTTGGACCTCTTGAGGTCGTGCACCTTGCTGCCGGGGCTCATCTGGATCTTGTAGCCGCCGGGGCCAACAAGGTACAGATTGTTGTTGTAGGTGTCGATGATAGCCCGCTGGTTGGTGAGCGACCTGAGCCCGAGGAGGGCCTGCACGTCGCTATCAGGAATGACCGGCGCCGCACATGAGCCCGTGGAGCCGTCCTCCAGGCCAATGGCGTTGGTGATCTTGCGGTTGCACTCCTGCGCGTGCTTCCCAACTCCGCCGACCCGGAACGTGGGTATCTGCTCAGATTGCGGTCGGCTGAATCCGGCCTGGTTGATGAGCCGTGCCTGACGCTCGCACCAACGATCTCCGACGAGGTTGTCGGGAGATCCGGGATCAGCCAGGAGCGCCTCGCCGTCGCGATCGGTCAGCTTCACCAGGTAGGAGTACCTGTCGGTGTTCTCCTCGACCTCCGTGGGCTGATGCCACCAGGGGAACAGGAGTGACATCCGGGGACGCTCGTCCGGGCATGGATCACGCCAGGGCGTCTTAGACTTGCCCTTGCCCTTGCCCTTCCCTAGCGCTGCTGCCTGCGTGCGTTGGCTACCGCTGACCCCAGCTGCGGTGCATTTGCTACCGCCGGCGCACCTTCCACATCAACATCAGCCTCGCACATGTAACACGAGTCGTCCATCTCCAACTGGACGGGGTACTGGTGCGGGTCCTGCGCCTCAGGAGCAGCAGGCGTAGCGAAGTGGAAGTGCGCCCCTGGCGACGGCGATACACCACAGAGTCCGCCAGCGCCGCAGGAGCTGGCACCACCGCCGGCCATGGAGTTGGCCCAGCCCGCGTTGGGGTCGGCGTAGTGGTGCCGCTGGCGCGGGCAGTCCTTGATGAGGTGCTGGTCGGACTCGCACTCGTGGCACAGCAGGCGCTTGCCGTCCGCGCCGATCGGGTTCAGCTTACGGACTCGGGCCTGCGCGCCGTGGAGCCCCTTGCCGCGACCCTTGCCGCCGGCCAGGGACTTGGAGTTGATGGGCCCGCCCTGCATGTAGTGGCCGCCGGCGAACGGGTTGTGGCCGCGTCCGCCGCCCTTAGCAGGGCTTCCCGAAGACCGTGGATCATAGCCCTTACCTCGATCCTTACCCTTACCCTTCTCGAGACGATGACGACGCGGAGGGCGGCCGGTGAACCTCCGGAAGCGCCTCTTCGCCACCAGGTACTGGTGGCGCACCTCGTCGTAGGTGACGTTGGAGAGGTCGCCGCAGTACTCGAAGTTCTCGGCGTCGGTGCCCTCGAATTCGTCCTCGCTCTCGGAGTCGGGCTCGCCGTAGTAGCTTGCATCGTAAGATGCCTCTGGGGCCCATTCGGTACCCTCTGGGGCCCAGTTGGTACCCCACTGTCCGTGCTGCGAGCCGCGGCCGGAGGCGAATGGGACCTCGCCTCCACTGCACGCCGCGAAGGCGTCCATGCCGGGACCGTCGCCGAAGCCGTCAGCGCCCGTCGCTGCCGACGGTTCGGTCCAGTACGAACCGGTGTGCGCCGGGAAGCGCCAGCCTTCCTCGAGGGTCCTGGCGCCGGCGTGGGAGCGCTCCAACAGATGACACTGGTCCCGAATCTGCGTCAAGAGCGCCTCGAACCCCGGCTCGTCTCGTGGGAACCGCCCCTGGTGGGCGGACAGCAGCAGCGGCCAGTGCATCTTGTGGATGCCCAGCTGGTGGAGCAGCATCCAGCTGAGGCCGCCCACGCCCATCTGGAAGTCGCCGCGCTCGTTGGCCCGCTTGCGGATGAGCTCGAAGCGGCCCAAGCAGTCGTCGATAGGCTCGCGAGGGGTCCGGCGGAAGGTGAGAAGCTCAATCACGGAGGAGACCGAGGTCTCGAACTCCCTGGCTCCGAACTTCCGGGCGAGGCCGTTGAGGAGCAACTCGAGGCCCGAGACCACGACCGGGTTCCCCTGGAGGTCGAAGACCTGCTGGCCCATGTTGTCGAGCTGGAAGCGGCCGTTGCGCAGGATCTCCGGGTCCACGTCCCGGGCGCACGACCGGGCCACGCCGCCAAGGCGCTGGACCACCGCGCCGCCCTGGGCCTCGACGTTCAGCTCCGAAGAGCTGCTCCAGATGCGGACGTCCTGTAGGTACGTCCTAAACGGGTAGCCCTGGAGCTCCAGCTCTGGAGTCCAGTAGGGCGGCACCTTGCCGGTGCTGAGCTGCGCCGCTTGGGCGTTGAGCCGCTGCTGAGGCGGCTGTGGAACGCCGAAGTTGCCGCCGTTGTCCCAGTAGTGTGCGACCCCGC